CGAGAAATATCACACAACTTAGCCACTCTTTCAGGCCTAAGTGTCCCAGAGGTTTCCCCTATGAAACTGGCTCCAAGGTCGATTTATGGAGCACCAAAATGAAAGGCCAAACTGGAACGATTCTGCAGAGGGAGGGAGTTTCTAAGAGAGAGTAAAGAAGTGTATATAGGAAGGCAAAAGTCTAGTCTCTGGCAATGAAATTGACGTGCCTGGGAGAAAACAAAAGGAGAGGAGTACCAAGGAAGGAACCCATTTGAATTTTGAAAGTCAATTGGCCCAAAGATGTTAAAAGAGAACCACCTAAATAAGGCTCAATAAGCCCACAACATCTGCCTACATGACAGAGAACGTGAGCCAGCTAAACAAAATACCACGCTAGCACCAATGCTTTGTCANAATTTTGAAAGTCAATTGGCCCAAAAGTGTTAAAAGAGAACCACCTAAATAAGGCCCAATAAGCCCACATTCGATATTACAAGCATCACAGATTGAGAAATTATTAGGCTCAAAACACAGGTTTACAGGAAGATGTATGTTTAGTAGCACAAGCATCACCCACTGAAGCTAATGGACTCAAAATGCAAGTTTTCTGCCAAAGCATGGCAACTTCATGCCGCAAGCTTTTTGGGCCGCAAACTAGAACTCCAACGTCTAATTCTTTGCAATCGAAAAGTATTCCTGTGATTTTAACAAGTGAAGTGGAGAGTGAGTTAGGTTCATGTCTTTTAGGAATTCACCAAATCAAACAATATAGGATTGTCTGATATGCTCGATAGGAAAACATTGTTATTTCAGTTTAGAAAGGTTCAATGACTTAATAACTGTTTTTATGTTCGTTGCAATCCAATGCTGCGTACACAAAAGAAAAGTCACTCTTTAGATCAGGTCTAGCACCAAAATGCACCTTTGTACATTGCACTAGGGACTGATGAGGCAGGCTTTCAATTTCTCTCTCAGTAGCACATAACTATGAAACTGGTGATGAGGTTGGTGTTGACATTTCCACATTCTGAATTTGCTTTTCTTGCAAAGAATTTTCTCGCTTTTGCAAGAGGAAAATGACACTAGTGCTTAGGAATACACAAACCATTGCAAGAAAAATGTCCCATAAAATCTTTAAGCTGTAATGGTAATTCTCCCCCCTGTGCTCGACAGGATATATATGGTAACGAGTGATGATTCCCAGAAAAATTAAAAACATGACAAACGAGGACGAGATTATAGACCCGAGACACAGCCAACTATTTTTGCCAAGAACTGCAGATATTGGCGAATCTGATGGGTATGGTTTGAACAAATTAGTTTGGACGAGTCTGGGGGAATTTTCAAGGGGTTTTTGATCATTTTCTCTTGTAATGTAGGCTTCTATTTGTAATTGTACTTTGGAAATATCTATAGAATTGCCATATATATATGGGGAGCAAGAGGTCTAGCATTGTGAGATCAGCTGTGTTTTTTAAGGCAGTTACTAGAAGAATTTTGGGCACTTCAGAATTTGGTTGTGTACTTTTGAAAATGATTTCTCGGATTATGGAAATGAAAGGAGCAATGCCACTTCCTCCACATATCATCACAAGGGACTCGCGACTGCAACAAGATTAAACTTAGTCAGCATTTTTCTTGCCTCATTTAAAAGCTTTTTCTATTAGAGTCGAGAGAAAATTGTAGGAGCACTCGACTTCTCTCTTTTCGAACTCATATAAGATTTAGATCATAGTGAATAATTACTTGACTTCTTTTTCTATAAAGAACTTGTCGCAAAAATTGTCACGTAAATTATCTATGCTTACCTTAGAAAATGAGATGAAGTAGGTCCATAAGGTCCTTCTGTTGAGACTTGAAGATGATCCAAAGAAGAAGAAAGTTGTTTATAAAGCTTTTGAGTCCAACTTCCCTCACTTTTAATTATTAACACTGAGCTTATCCACCTCCAAATTACTGTTCGAAATTATAGTAAATGGATGCCACTGTTAACTTGCATATACTTGGCACGTGAACAAACAAGATACTTGTGGGGTTGTAACTCAATCCTACAAAGTAAAACATGCACTTTGTTAGGAAAGAGTCCAACGTGTTTTTGCATCTCGTCTAAAAGTATGAACTACAAGAAATAAGAAATATTAATTTGTTTATATTTATATCTTTTCAGCATTAGAGAGTGACAAACTAATAATTTATATAAATTGTCGCCAACACATCCTCAATCGCTTTTAGTTATTTTTTAAGAAAGAAAAATATCGGACACTAACCATTTTATTTAAAACTTTTGAACACTGGAAAGAATCCCAAATATCGGACTACTTCTACTGTATAAATAATTCACCTGGATTCTTAGAGAAAGTGAGTTCCATGGTTCCATTAGGCAAAAGTCGTGTTGATAATACTCTAACCCTCCTTCTTGATTGTAAGAATCTCAAGTATCTGTCAATAAGGAAGAGAAAAATCCCAGGAAGAATCATGCAGAAATAGGCAACTCCCACATGTAATATGTAGAAGAGCACAAAGAGAATGTAGAGATGATGAGCATAGAAGAAAACTTCAAAAAAAAATTCTCCTTATTCGATTGAAACTTGTTGCCCATATCCCCAGTGAAACCACAAATGCTATTACTCCAGCTATGTTGGATACATATGTACTGCTCCATTCAAGCATCTGCACCATCAATTACTTGTTATTAGTTACTTCTAATATTCTTGTTAATATATGTATGTAGGGTAAGCTTTGACGCAAGGCCGGCCTTAAGATTTTGGGAGCTCTGTATAACATTTTAAGATGGAGGCCCTTTTCATAAATAATATTTTGTCCTTTAACTAACATAAAATTTAAAATTATCATATATAACAATGTTGGGATTTGGACATTGATCTAAAACTCTTTTAAGAGAGCCCTTAATATCTTTGATTTTGTGTATGGAGGAGTGTATTGAAATCTTGACAAAACATGAATTGTATATCGGTTAATGCATAGCTTACTGGCTTTTTACA